GAATCGAGGACATAAAGAACAAGGTTGAAATCTCCTCTGAAACTGTGGATGCAGTGGCTCCCTTTGTATGGGCAACAGAAAAACCTGGAAGAGCCAAATCAGCCAAAATGGTAAAAGCAGAATTTAAGCAGGGAGCAAAACCAGTAGGACGAAAAAAATACCCCATGAAGCTGGAAGCTTGTATTGGATTAGAGCCTGTAACTAATAACTTTTTGAAACATGGACTGCTACAAGAATGCCAATCTGAATATAATGCTCCTATTTTTGCCTGTCAAAAAGCCGCACTCTCAGGAAAATCACCTAGTGCAAGATTTAAGGGCTCTTAATCAAATAGTGATTGATGACACCCGGTGGTGCCAAACCTGTATGCTCTACTGACCATGATAGTAGGTTTTTATTTTACAGTTTTAGATTTAATGTTTATTTTACAGCTGTAGATTTAAAGGATGCTTCCTTCTGTATTCCTCTGGAAGAACAGAGTCAAAAGTTGTTTGCCTTTGAATGGGAAAGTCCTACCACGGGACACAAGATGCAACTATGTCAGACAGTACTTCCCCAAGGATTTAAGAACAGCCCCACCATTTTTGGTAATGTATTAACAAAAGATCTGGAACAATGGCAAGATAAGAATTCATCGATTACCTTGCTACAGTGCGTGGATGACACTTTATTAGGGGCAAATACAATCGGGGAATGTAAGGAAGCAACTGTTAGTCTGCTGAACTTGTTGGGACTGGCTGGGTGTCAGCTGTCTCAGAAGAAAGCACAGATTGTGCAGAAGAGTGTAGAATATTTGGATTTCAAAATTTCTCAAAGAGAAAGGAAGTTGGAGGTTGAGAGAAGGGAGGCAATATGTCAGATTGCCCCCCCCCCCAATCAAAAAGAGGGTTAAGAGGATTTCTGGGAATGGCCGGATGGTGTCGCCTTTGGATACCTAATTTTGGACTGGAGGGTAAGCCCTTGTATGAGGCTGTTAAAGGGCCAGGAGAGGTGTTGGAATGGACTCCAGAATGTCGAAAAGGGTTTGATGATACAGAATTTGCTCTTACGAGTGCTCTGGCATTAAGCCTCCTTAATTTAACAAAAACTTTGGAACTTCCTGTGCATGAGCAAGGACATCAAGCACTGGGAGCACTTGTGCAAACTCTAGGGGACTGAAAAAGACCAGTGGCTTACTTTTTAAAACAATTGGATAACGTGAGCTCGGGATGGCCAGGACATTTAAGAGCAGTAGCGACAACTGTGTTAATACAAGAGGCACAAAAACTGACAATGGGACAGAGAATTACCATTCACATGCCACATGCAGTCATAGCTGTCCTGGAACAGAAGGGGCATCACTAGCTGTCTCCGAGCAGGATGGTACAGTATCAAGTGATATTGCTTGAGCAAGAAGACATAATAATGAAAGTATCCAGTAATTTAAATCTAGCATCTTTGCTACCCCTGCAAGAAAAGGAGGAATTGACACAAGAATGTTTGGACTATTGAGCAAGTATATTCAGCCGCCCGGATTTAAAAGACTGTCCTTTGCAACATCCCGATTGGGAGCTCTTCGCTGATGGGAGCAGCTTTGTGGTCAAAGGGGACCGAAAGGCTGCTGTTGTAATCTTGGAAGAGGAAACAGAAGTAAAGCCACTACCAGTGAATACATCGGCTCAGAAGGCTGAATTGATTGGCTTGATTTGAGCTTTGGAATTATCAGAATGGAAGCAAGCCAATGTGTATACTGATTGAAAGTACACCTTTGGAGCAATACATGCTCGTGGTGCAATTTGGGAGGAAAGAGGACTGTTATCCTCGCAAGGGCATCCCATAAAATATGGCACAGAAATGATGAGACTGCTGAGAGCAGTTAATAAGCCTAAGGAAATAGCAGTTACACATTGTAAAGTGCACCAATCTGGACAAACTGATGTGGTCAAGGGAAACAGAAAAGCCGACAAGGCTGCAAAAAGAGTGGCTTTATCTGCAAACGTGGCAGCATTGATTCCAGAGAAAACTTTGGAAATTGAAGTCCCTGTATATACTGAAAAAGAGAATAAACTTGCAGAGTTGTTGAAATGTAAGAAGACTATTGAAGGATGGTGGGTAACTCCAAGAGGTCAGTGTGTGGTGAGTCTGCCTATAATGAGGGAGTTAATGGAAAAGACAGATAAAAGTATACATATGGGTATTGAAGCTTTGCTTACAACAATAAAACGATATGCTGCGGGAATTAATATGTTACTGATGGCCAAGAGCATTGTGCAGAAATGTGAAATTTGTTTAGGGAACAATCCTAAAATTCAAAAAAGCCCCCCTCCCAGAGAGGTAAAAAGAGGCATTATGCCTGGAGAATACTGGCAAATTTATTTTTTTGAATTATCTAATTGTAATGGGTATAAATATTTGGTGGTAATTGTGGATATTTTTTCAGGATGGCCTGAAACTTTCCCACGTCGCACCAGTAAGGCAAGAGAAGTGATAAAGGTTCTGTTAAAAGAAATTATACTGAGATTTAGGGTACCAGAAGGGCTCTCCTAGGACAGGGGACCTCACCTTCTAGCAGAAATAGTCCAGGGAGTGTCTAAGTTTTTGCAAATAGCATGGGACTTACACATTCCATGGAGACCTCAGTCAAGTGGAAAGGTAGAAAGAATGAATCAAACTGTCAAGAGACAGACTAGCAAGCTATGCCAAGAGACACATATTAAGTGGATTGAGATTTCACCTTTGGCATTATTGAGAATTAGAATAGCTCCTAGAATTAGGGAAAAGATGAGTCCTTTTTAAATTTTGTGTGGAAAACCCTGTATGATGAATCGGACTGGCAAAGGGGACCAAATGCATTTGAAAGGTAATCAAATGTGATTATCTCTTGTCCTTGGCAAGAGTGCTCTCCTCTATCCATAGGTACATCCAGATAAGAACCCTCATGCCTTTGGATATGCCGGTACATTCATTTGAGCTAGGAGATTGTACCTATGAACCTGGAAGGAAGAGCCACTGGCTGAAAAGTGGAAAGGACCTTTATACTGATGACAACTAATAGTGCTGTGAAGTTGCAGGGAATCAAGTCCTGGACTCATTACACTCGAGTGAAAATAGCACCTCCAGAGATGTGGAGAGTTGAAGAAACTGGACCTTTGAAATTAGAAATACAGAGAAATACATGAACTGCACTTGGGGTAATGTAGAATCCATGGTAATGTAGAATCCATGGTGTCAGACTGTATGCAAGGGGAAGTTTTTTTGTATTACCTTATGGCAATTGCTTTAGTATTGCTTTTGTTGTATTTGTACAAACTTACTACTTTCCTGAAAATATATGATGAATGGAATGTGGTTGTTTGTTAGTTTTTTAGGTTACCTGAGCCAGGTAATTCAAGAGAACCAGGAAGGGGATTACAGCCCCTGGAAGAATAACCTTCATTTGGAGCTAATTGAAAATCAATGAAGGTGGCCAACAGAACAAATTGTTGGGCGTGTACTCATTTTCCAGAACATTCAGACAAAGGTTTGTCTTTGATTGGTATTCCTATCCCTGCAAATATATCGTGGGGAGGCTTATGGACTAAGACCTATGTCAATGTTTGTACAGAAGGACAACAGGAGTGGCAAATAGGACTCCCTCCAGATGAAAACCAGAATTATCCTAGGTGTATGCAAAGGTGTAATCCTCCAAAAGGGGTTGGTAAAATAGATTGTGACAATTCTGTTACTGTTGGTATAGGAACTTATCCAAGGTGTAATGTAACTGCAAACTGGGGAGGACGCAATACAAGACCTTGGCCAGTTCCATAAAGGTAGTGATTGGTATCGGTTATGTGGGAATAAGGCATGAAAAGTCTTGCCACCCAACTGGTCTGGAACTTGCACCTTAGGTGCTGTTGTTCCTAATGCTGCCATAATGAATGAGATTAACAATGCCAAGCTATGGATGAGAACATATATGAAAAGATACTGAAGAAGCCATAATCCACTAAATGATCGATCAACTGGCTTCCATTAATTTGCTAGGTGGTTCCTTCCTTGGTTAGGAGTTAGTGAACATGAGAAAGCTATAATGAATACTTCAGCACTGCTTGAACAAATGGGAAACAAGACTTTGGATGTCATCAAGGCCTTGCAAGAAGGAGTATCAGAAATTGCCAATATAGCTACACAAAATAGAATGGCCCTGGATATGTTATTGGCTTCTCAAGAAGGAGTGTGCACAGTGATCAATACAAGTTGCTGTGTATGTGTGGATCAGAGTGGATGAATTTCTGCAGATTTAAATGAGATCTGGGAACAAATTTGGATATTACATGAGGTTCAAAAAGATGACACCTCTACCGGCGTAAAGGAAGTATTTAGATGGGTGACTTCCTGGTTTCCCATAAATAGCCCATGGCTCAAGAGATTATTAGCATTGTTGATAATGGTCTTGCTTGCTTTTGTATGCTTATATGTACTAATACAATGCATATTCAAATGTTGCTCCAAATCAAAAAACAAAATAATATTAAGATGAGACTTATCTAAATAGACAAGTCTCAAAGGGGGGAATTGTTGAAGGTTAACTCATTATCACATGTGCGCAGGAGAAGCTGAGTGGGTGTATGGGGGAAGTGCTGCCTTATACTGGCCCTGGTCCTCTGCTCTTCCCTAGGCTTCCGCTGATGGCAAATGTCAGGGGATGCTGAGCCGATGCTGCACGCCATATGGCTGCTCTGACGTCATGTTCTTGAGTGCAGAGCAGAAATGATCAGCTACAGACAAAGGACAGAGAACTGGGCAGCAGTTCTGCAGAAAAGATCTGGGGTACTGGCAGGTCCAAAGCTGATCCAGAATCATAGAATCGTTTAGGTTGGAAAAGACCCTTAAGATCATAGAGTCCAACCCTCAACCTAACACTGCCATTCCACCACTAAACCATGTCCCTAAGCACCTCATCTACCCGGCTTTTAAATACCTCCAGGGATGGGGACTCAACCACTTCCCTGGGCAGCCCATTCCAATGCTCGACAACTCTTTCAGTGAAGAAATTTTTCCTAATATCATCTGTCTTACCTGTTTTAAGAAAAGCCTGTGCCATATTGTGGAATATATAAGTGGTGGTGTTATGTGTAAGGAACTTCCACTGTCTTAAAGATGTAAGGGGCTGAGCTCTCTTCAGTGCTGCCCATACCTCCTGGAGGACTGACTCCAGCTTTAGCAACACACTTTGAAAAAGGTCTGGACTAACTGGCAAGGGTTCAGAAGGGCAGCGGGAACGAGTAGAAGAAATATGAGTTGGTTTATTTTGCTGCAAGGGAGTTTTAGATTTGGCATTGGAAATGCTTTCCAGTACTGTCAATAAGAAAGCAAGGAATAGGCTGCCTACCTAGCTCTCTGTCCCTGCATGTTCTTGAGAATAGACCAGAAACCTGCTCAGGTGGAATCAGAAAGCATGTTAGATCCACTATGAATGACACGGATAACAGCTGATACTGCCCCACCACAGAGGGACAGACTGCCTCTAGGTCCTGTCTAGCCCTGTTCCGTGTCACCCAGTGATTCTTAGATGACAATGTGCTGTCATTTACACCTGTTTAGACTGGTTACACAATTGGGATAAAAATAATATCCTCGTATCCCTATGCAGAATGGACAAGAGGGTTTGGAAAAGGGACGTCAGAGAGGAATGCGTTTGTTGTCCTGCATGGCAAGACAGGTCTGCATGGAAATCACATGTGCGCAGGGGGAGAAGCATTCAGGCTCTGCAGTGCCCAGAGCTTTAATCCTGGTATGAGTCCCTACTTCAGTGCTATTTAAATACAACGTGGTACAGACTAGAGATGTGCTGCAGAAAGGGCTCCTTCCATGCCAAGCCTATGGGAAAGGTGGGCAGGGATTTAACTACTTGTGCTTGCTGGGACTCTGCTTCATCTGCGGGCAGTAACCCTGGATCTCTCTGCAGAGAGGTTTGCTCTTACAGCTGTACTGGGTTTGCGTGGCAAGGTTTTGGTAGCGGGGGGGCTACAGGGGTGGCTTCTGTGAGAAGCTGCTAGAAGCTTTCCCT